ACCCCGTGTACGCCTAGCATAAATTCAGTACGCCCAGCATACTGGGTCAACCACCCTGATGGTGGTCAACATCTGGACGAGTACGCCCCGCATACGTCCTATGTTGGGCCTTTGGCAATTGGGCTTCAAGTTTTGGGCTGTTTGTGGACTAGTTGGATTTGGGCCTTTGGTGGACTTTATGAATATTATGTTTTAGGCCAAGTTTTGATAATGGATCTTGGAATTAGACCCAATTTGGTAAATTGGGCCAATAATGGGCTTTGCATAAGGACTTTTAAGGTTATGGACTTGGTATTGGGCCTTAGCCCAATAAAGAGAATGGACATGATGGATTGTGTGGATCCTTAGTCAAGATTGGTATGTTGTGTAATGACTTGGTATTTATTATGTGATAGTTTGGGATTTTCGGTGAGATAGCGATCTGAGGTTTTCGATACTTCGACACTACTTGTGAGGTGAGTTGTCCTCACTATATCAACAGGATCTAAGGCACCAAGGCTGGCCCTTTATCGGATTTGTATCCGAGTATGTGTCTGATATGTTTATTAATCTACTAGATCTGCATCCTGGTAGTTAGGATGGTATTATGTTAGTGACCTGGTTTAGGTCGGTATCCTGGTATAAAGGATAATGCTATGTTAGTGACTTGTTTTAGGTTGGTATCCTAGTATAAAGGATAATGTTATGTTAGTGACCAATTAGGCCGGTATCCTGGTTATAGGATGGTTGTTGGGTTAGTGATCTGTTAGATCGGTATGATTATTTGTTATATACATGCTATCGTATGATATTTATGTTTACATTATTGTTTGATTGGTATGGGGGCTGGTTTGAGGCCGGTCCTGCTTTGTGCTGTAGGCCACCATACCCAGGGAGGTCCGGATAGACTGCAGGCCAACATATCAAGGGCGGACCGGATAGACTGCAGGCCCAGGAGGGCACATAGTCAGGTCGAATGCCCGACTAGCGGTCCGGATAGGCTGAAGGCCCCAAGAGGGCTGTCCAGACGTGCTGAGGCTCGGAGAGTGGGCCAGATAGACTGAAAGCCTAGTGTGGGCGATCCAGTCGTACTGTAGACTCAGAGAGTGGACCAGGTGGACTGAAGGCCCTGTGCAGGCGGACCAGTCACACTGTAGACTCGGAATGCATGGTTGTTCTGTGTTTGTTATAAGATATGTTTATGGTTGTATAAGGTTGGTATTTTGGGGGTAACTCACTAATCCTTTGATCTTACATTTATCGATTATTGTTTCAGGTGCAACAGATGACCACGGGAAGGTGAAGGCGTGACTGTACACTTCCTCGATTTACGATTATGATTTTTGGGAACTCTGATGTTTAAACTATTTTGAAAACAAATTGTAATAACTGAATGGTTTTAAATGATTTAAAAAGTTTTATATTGGCTTGATTTTTATGGATGTTACAGGAATTCGAATGAGATTTCCAGTCCGAGATTCTGGGCTCTGACGCTGCAACAACTTTATCCTGAGAGAATTGAATTTGTCACAACTAGAAATTTCATGTCAAACCAATCCCAATGGTCTTGTATATGCAAGTGTTTTAGCTATGATACAACTATGATATATGATTTAAGTTCATATTTTCTCTAAGCCCTAATGATTTTTGCAAATCAAATAAGGATCACTTAATATGGACATAAGGACTTGTGTTATGTTGCAACCTTGAACACTTGAACTATAAGGACAACATATTTGATTTTTTTCCATTAACTAAGACCATAAACCCTTCTATTAGGGCCATGCTGTTCGTAAAAACCTCTAAGGGCCCATGTTTTGGCGTTGAACTACTTTAAGGACAAAAAGTGGCCATGAACACCTTAAAGAATCCAAACCTTGGCCGTGAACACCATTCTAGGCAACACCTAGGGCGTAAACACCTTAAAGAAGCCAAACCTTGGCCGTAAACACCACCCTAGCAAACATCTAAGGCGTAAACCACCTTATTGAACCACATTAGGAGCGTAAAAACCTCAAGGAACCACATTAGGAGCGTAAACTACCTTAGGGACCCATACTTGGGCGTAAACACCTTGTACTTGCTACCATCAATAACAAATCTTTATCCATCAGTAATTTAAGCAAATATCAAATCATCTCCTTATCCCTTATGATGAACGTAAACCCCACTCCCCATTTCACCAAACTCATTTTCACTTAATGAGAAGTCCTTGAACACTCTCAAAGAATTCAAGCCAAGTTCCAGGAGCCTTATTCTTTCACAAACTCTTCTAAATTCTTGTAAGTATTTCATGCCTAGCTAGAGATTTTACACATTACTTTGTTGAAATCCTTATTGTTTACACATAGTGCTATATTTAACAACTCCAAGGTGTCATAATCTTTACAAGTTCATTAAAAACTTCATGTGTTTAGGATAAAAACTCTTCTCTCATCACTTCAAATGCCCCCTTCAACTACCAAAGGTGAGCTTCATACCCCCATTTTCAAGTTTTTCTTCTTTTAGGGGAGAATACAAGTCAAAGTCTTGTGTTAATCTTGTCTAATTGCTTGTATGTGCATATTGTATGTGTTATATGTTGTGAATCTCGTGCAAAAATTCCAAAAACTCGAGATTTATGGTTAGATCTTAAGAAGTTGGATTTAGTTAACATAATTTGTGGGTTAAAATGAAAACTAGCTCCTCAAGGTAATTTGTTTCTATTGATGTTTGGTAGAAATCACAAAGATTAACCCAAGAATATGTTTTAACAAATTTTCTACAAGAAAACATGAAAGATGATGAAATATGGAAAATTTTCATTAACAAGGGGCCATTTTTGAACATTTGGTAATATGGGCTAAAATGGTCATTTTTGATATAAATGGGTTTTTTATGTCACTTTCTTTAAATTTTGACTAAAATTGAATTTTTAGTAAAAACGAACAATTTATGACATTTCTAAATTAAAGGGCCGAAAATGAAACATATAACAAGTTTGGGCCATTTATGGCATTTTTGGATAACTATAGGCCTTAATTGATATTTCATATAAAGTTGGGTCATTTCTTTGTCATTTTCAGAAATTTTGGACCATCTTTGACAATATGATTAAAAATGGGTTCTCCACAGCATGCGTGATAAAAACGAAATATCTTGGCAACACACACAACTAACGTTATTTATAATATTAAACAACGGCATCAACTATTTGCGTAAATTTCTGTTAGGATTCTGGTGAGATGCATCTTTAGTCGTACCTACCTAGTGTACGTGGTAAGTCCTATTGGTTTTAAACAGAGTTTCCTGGAAGGAGAGCGGGAATTTGTGTATAGATCTATACGGGGTTGACATCCTACACCTAAGCTGTTCGTTATAGCTAGACTAGGCCAGTCTAGGGTGACAAATATCTTTCAACGAAACTGACGCATGTAAAACGGCAAGTCAGACACTCCGTCATATTAGTATGGTTATAATGACTCACTTAGAATCTAACTATATTAATTAAAATTTACGTGAAACACACATTTAAATTGTAACCAACTACATGTTGAATACTTTAAACACAATTTCACCACGTAGGTCTTAGGGTTTTAAGACCACAAATTTTGTATATCAGAAAATATAGGAGTTTATGTGGAACTCGCAAACAAGAATAAACAAGATCACACTTGCAACTATACATGATTTGAAAAACAAGATTATCACAAACTATTTTGCTTTACAAGAAATATTGGATTTTCTAGGGTTTTAACTATCACAAGGATTTTCATTTAAACATACTTATGAACTCACCAACATTTTATGTGTTGACGCTTTTCAAAATAACATGTATTCTCAGGAACTCACTAAGCAGGTTGGTAGCGTTGGACTTTTGGCATTTGTTATATTTTATTTCCACCATGCACATTGTTATTTTGGGATGTAATTTTTGCGAACAAACACAATACTATGAACCATGTATGTTGAAATCCTTAATGTATGATGATGATGGCTATTTTTCATTTATATACACAAATATGATCTTACAAGATGAAGTCATTCACCTCCGAACGTTTCCGTCGTTCCGGTTCGGGGGTGTGATAGAATCCATTCCTCTCAACTTGGATATTAAAGAGGTATATTGTTCCTTTAAAGCTATAAAGAATTGTAGGTTAAACCAATCCGCTTTCGAACATATTAGACATTTTCCAGTACATATGGTAGCCATAGTTCCATTTGACTCACCATATCGCAAACATCATCTTGAGATTTCGGTTGCATTCAACCTAACACAATCTATCCAAATCTCGGATGATCCAGCCTTGGATGTAAACATATCAACTTCTTCAGGAGGATGTAAGAAGCAATTGGATAAATGAAAGAGATCTCCTTTAAATGTCCAAGCCAAAAAGAAAACCAAAGGCAATGAATCCTCTCAAAAGGATTCATAGATTGGCATTCGATATGACTTTGGATCTCAGCCTACCCCTTCCATCCACTCTTCCGAAGTACCCTTCAGAGTTTCAATATAACATGCACACTCTCACGGGGAGTCTGCAGATAATCTACCCCCATATTCTTAGAAAGGTGATGCAGGTATAGAACAAAGTACCTTGAAGCACCTTGGGACACACCCACGGGTCATTTTAGAAATCCCTCTCGGTTCAACATAAGCACAATAATGGGCACTTGTTTTTTATTCCAAGCTTTCCGAAGCTAGAGTAGTCCCTCCTACTTCGAAAGCCACAACCTGTCTGATACATGCTTCAGGTAAAGGACGACCAGGTATTTTTTATAACGATTGGTCTGATTTTGTAGATAGGGATCATTCTCAACATCAGGAGCTTACTAGAGATCAGGTTGAATACATGCTTATTTTTAAGCGTCAACGTGCTCTCCAAATTCGTCTTCCTTTCATGTTTCCATCTGATGAAGAAACTAATCAGGCTTTCAAGCCTTCCAACGAAGCCCTGAAGACTACTTCTATAGGATATGTTTCCGACTCTACAAATTTTTTGAATGATCCTCCTCCAAAGTTCACAAATAAAGAAGCCTCCATGCTTCCTACTAACGATGATCTCTCCAATGAGGTCATGTTCGAAGATGACAACACAAAAGTTGGTTCTATTCTGATGTCTAATTCTTTCAACATACTAATTCCTAATGCTTTCAACATACTACAGAAGCCATCCTCCTCGAAACCGTTTTATGATTTCGGTCTCTCCTCCTCCTCCTCGGAATCCAAAAGAGAAGAAGATATTGAATCCAACAAGCATTCTTCTCTCAAAGTTACCTTGGAAAGCGATGAAAGTAATGAGGCTCAAGCTAATCCAGTAGACAACTCCATGCCTTCCAAACCGCATAATGATGCCAACAATGATGATCAAAAAACATATGAGAGTTCTACCTCAGACATAGGATCTTCAACTGAAAATATTGAAGATCCTTTTGCCTTGTTAGAACTCCGAGCCAATGTTGCCTTAGCTATATTCAAAGTTGATTCCCTTGACCAGAAAGTCATAGGCCTTGATTTGAAGCTTGATTAAAAGTTTACAGGTCTTGACGCCAAGTTATAACTTATCCGTAAATCTCTTTCCAAGATCCAAGCTGCTGCTCCATCGGAAATTGACCGAGCCAATAATCTCGACCAGCTTATTTCCCTTCGCCTCATGCACACAATCAAAGAAGTTGAACGAAAATACAATGATAGTCTCGACCATCATATTTCTACAACCACCATCATGCTCAAGATTCATGACTACATGATTAATGCTACCAACAAACTCATCAAGCAGACTCATGTTCGTCATGAGAAACAAATTTAATTTCTTGAAAAGGAGATTCATAAAAAGGATGCAATGAACATGGTAATGAAAAAGGTGCTAATCAAGCTTATTCTTGCAACTTGGAATGTTGTGGATGTTCCGAACAACAAGTTTGATGAGATGCTCGTTAGTTTGGATGAAACATTTGCCCATCTCAAAGCTCAAGCTCCTAAACCGAGGCATATGATGCTTTCACCAAACAACTCAACACAAGTATTCAACCAGTGTTTGAAATATTGGAGGGCCTCAAGATTGGAACCGTACTTGCATCGGAAGGAGGGTCATCCCATGCAAGAGGGGGAGAAAGAGAAAAAAAAACTCAATGAAAACCTATCTCAGATTTCATGCTCCGAGATAAATCAAATGATGATGAAATTATTGAGGTCGAAACTCTTGAACCTCTTGAAACAAATGATGAAGAATATGAAGACTTAACGAAAAATGTGATCATAGGAATTCAAACCACCAGAGAACAACCTATGCGTGTCCTTTTGGAAGCAGATAAGATGGAGTGGTCCTCGGTTTCTTGGTCATTATATCTAGCAGAAGAGTTGAAATGAAGTCGTGAGATGGCAACGCTCAAGACTGAGATTATAATTGATGCATTTCGAGCTACCCAGTCCATGCTTCCACCAATTCCTGCTCCAAGGATCATTCAAATTGATGAAGGTTCTCCTACTCAGAAACCTGATGATATTCCTAAAGAGCCTTTGATTCCTATTCCATCAGAAATTTTCATCACTGATTTTGGTTGTCAAATCATCTCCTCCATTTCAAGCACAAGTGAAAATCCTCAAAATAAAGGCAAATAGGTTGCAACAGATTCGGATAGCCCGGTGAGGACATTTAGAAAGTCTGAGGGCTAGTCTCAAGAACAGATGAATCAAGCTTTGGAAGAAAGCATTCAGATTCAAGCACTTAAAGACAACCTGAATCTGATGCTAGGCATTTCTCCTCTTTTCCGAGAAGGAGTTATTCATGATATACACTTCGTGACCTTCATGTACTATGATCTTCTGACACAAGATGCTTACCAACTTGACTTGCCAATCTCTCTTCATCGTCATTTCTATATCAAGTACGCTCCTTTACATTCGAATGATGATCCTCAAATCATCATCAAAATTTAGCGTGAGAGATTGAGAACCTTTTACTCTGTCAATGCACGACCTCAAAAGGATGTTTGGTCTCGGAAGAGAATTACCAAGATCATTGGATATGGTAACAAGTTTCAGAGCAAGTTAGATCTTAATTGCATGATGTACATATACTATGTTTCTCGGAATAAAGAATCCACCATCACCATTACAGATGCAAATTTTCCTTCGATCAACCCAAACGACATTCTCACTTTAGCTGCTCACTCAAGCATTGGAGCCTACAATGCTACCATAAGCTTCGTGAAGGACTATGTCACACCCCCAAACCAAAATAGCGGAAACATCTAGGGGTGGATGGAGTGACTTCATGTACAATATCATAACAACTGAATATAATTGAAACATAGCAACACAAACATTCATACATTGAGGATTTAAGTTTACATTGTTTATAAATCTTTGCTTGTTCAAAAGTTAAATACAAGTAACTGAAAAATAGAAAACAAGAAGTGACGACGCCGGCCCTCAAGAAGGATTGAATACCTGTCTACTGGTTTTCTGAGAATACAAGTCATTTTGAAAAGTGTCAACGATTAAGTTGGTGAGTTCATAAGCATTTTTGTGTGAGAAGGATTTGCAACATTTTCGTGTAAAATGATTTTTGTATACTTTTAGAAAATCCGATATTTTCTTTAATAGGAACTATAAATGTATGTATTTCCTTCATATAATGTATGTTTCCAGAAAATCCAATGTTTTATTAAATATAAACTATAGATGTATGTATTTCCTTTGTATATTTTTCTTGTAAAATGATAATGTATGTCTCCAGAAAATCCAATATTTTCTTAAATGTGAATTGTAGTCTTAAACCCTAAGAACATAATGTATAAGTATTGATGTATTGAACAATAGTATGTACTTATATCTTTTTATAAAACTAATGAAGTGTAAGTTACCCCGTAAACCGAGTAGTAGCGCTAATCCCTATGTGATCTATTATAACCATATTTAATACAATTAATGGCCTGTACGACATTCTTCAGGCATCGAAGCTAGTAGACATTTGTCACCCTAGACTTTCGGTCTAATTGTAACGAACAACTTAGGTGCGGGGTTGTCAATCCCGTATAGATCTATACACAACGGTCTCACTCTTCCTCCAGGAGACTTTGGTTATAATGCATGACTTAAGGTGTACTTTAGGTAAAGTACGTGAAGAGAGTGTGTCTCACAAGAGCATTAACTGAGTTACGTGAACTATGACTCATTTTTCTTGTAAACCGAAATAATTATATCTTTGAATAATTATATGTATCTTCTGAAATGAAAGTGTGGTTTGTGACTTCTAAACTATACCAATTATAGTTTATCTTGTTTGTTTGAAACTATTTATATAATCTTTTATATAAATATGAATGTGTATTCTTGTCTAGTATTAAAATATGAAATCAAAACATAATATCTTTGGGTTGTAACCCATCAAATTAGTAAATGATTGTAATGTAACCATTTTTGCTAGAAAAGCTATCTATTAATAAAAGTTTTCAAAAACCATGGAGTCTTACAAATCAAAATTTTTTCTTATGCTTTTATAAAATAGATCATGTTTGTTTTGTTATCTTTGTAATTCAAACTAATATATATCACAATAATTATACAAAAACTAGTATTAACCACATGTTATGCAATTTTTTTTATCTTTAACATAAGATGAAATCATGTAAAAATTTTGATAAACAAAGCTTTACTTGTATCCCCCCCCCCCTTAAAACATGAAAAAGCTTGAAAATGTATGTGTGTGTGTGTGTGGTGGGGGGGGGGGGTATGAACTCACCTTGAGTGGTTTTGTGGGTTATTTGAGAAGATGGTGTGAAGGTTTCCAAGCCTAACACTTGAAGGTGGTGGTTGAACTTTCTTCACAAGAATGCTATCCTAAGACTTTAACATATAATAATATGTGGGTAAATATAATGAAACTAGCATAAATGTGTATAAATACACTAGATTTGAAGGAATACTTACCAAATCTAAGAATGCACTTGAAGATCTTTGAACTTAGAGGTTGGACTTGGTTATTTGAGAGGAAATGATATTAATCTGTAATTGAGGATGGAAAATGGTGGAGTTTGGGGTATGAGTTCGACCTTAAGATAAGGTGGTACATGATGGGATGCTTACTTTCATAACTGTGGGATAATAGCTTGGAAGTTCATTGGGTATTACTCTACATGTTAAACTGTTAAAATATCTTATCACAAAAGTCAACTATTCTTGTCTGTTTCCTTACCTAGACCGAAGTCACATTTTGTAAGAGATTATAAGGATGATTTTGGCCAAAGTAATGTCCCATTAAGGGTGATTTCATGCAAAGTGTGGCCCATTAAGGTGATTTCGATCCTAGGCTATTACATTGTTGTGTTTTCGGTCCTACCTTCTTACCAAATGGTGATTTCAGTTTAGTGGTCACCCACTAAGGGGTGATTTCGCTCTTGGGGGTATTTTGTTAATGTGTGGTTTTGTTTATGGTTTGTTGATTTTCAAGATTAATTACGACATGGTTTCCTAAGTGTGTGTGTGTGTATATATATATATATATATATATATATATATATATATATATATATATATATATATATATAAATTTATACAACAATTCCATTTGGTTTGTAATATTTTATTGCAACAAAATACATTGTGCTTGAACATGGTTACAAGTTAGACCTTGCTTGATCTTAATTTTCGGGTTGTCACATCATCCTCCTGTTAGAGGGAATTTCGTCCCGAAATTCATATCTTGAACAAGTTCTTGGTAGCCCTAGGGAAAGGTTGTGGGTAATTCTATTTCATATGATTCTCATGTTCCCAGTGAATGTGGGTCCTTGTTTGACGCTCCAATGGTGTGACAACCCAATACTTTTGTTGGATTAGTGTCTAAGTCCATAACTATAATTGGTATGTACTTGATCCGATTTGGCATGGTCCATTTGGGTTGCATGGCATCGAAACAATTGGATATTAATATGAAATCACATTATTTAGTTAGTATTGATCAATAATTAATTTAGTGATCAAAAGGAACTAATTAAGTATGGACTCTTATATATATAGGATGAGCCAAGTTCATTTAGGTTGGGCTAAGCTTTCATGGATAGTCCATGGAGTGTTTAACCTATGGATCCTATGGAAATGAAAGGTCTTGGGTATTAGGGTTTACATGAATGTAACCCTAATCCTCCATACTATATAAAGAGATCTATGGTTCATGAAATGAGTGCTAAGAACTAGTGTGTGTGTGCACAAGAGGGAAAAACTGATTTTGGTGCAAGTATCCTTATTCTCAATTTATTCCAAGGGTTCTTGGTGTTGTGTGAACCATTTGAGGTGCAACACTTGGGGCGCTAGGCTCTTAAAGGTTCAAGGCTTCAAGCTCAATCAAAAGGTATGTCATTTTACTAGATTCTTGTAGTATAGTTGCTTCATATTATGCTAGTTAGGATGAAACCTTGGAATATTGAATATTTTCATGTATAATAGAGCAAACATAGATCCAAGGTTTATAGGGTTGCATGTACACCATAGGAGTGTTAGAATGCTCAAAACCCTTCAGTGGTATCACAA